GGGGAGGGAAGATCAGCAGACACTAAATTCAGCTTGAGCAAGACACAGAGCCCAGTCTGCCATGGCAGAGCTGGGCAGCTGCAGGCACAGGGGAGCATCAGCCCCACACTGCAGAGCTCCTCCAAGTCCCACTGCAGCCAGTTCCAAACGATGGTGCCCAGAGCCAGCGCTGGGGCAGAGGGGATGCTGAGCACCTGTCAGACCATGCTGTGAGCACATCCAAGCGAACAGAGCCCTCTGCCAGCACTCCCGAGTCAACACCTGCAGGAGTGTGTCTGATTTGGGCTCACACAACACCAAAGGGAGAGGCAGGCAGGGGAGAAAAGGTCACTGAGCTGGTTATGGAGCCACAGCACACAACTCCAGTGGAAGTGTCTGCTTCTGGAAAACAGGTCATGGAGGGGGAATCAAACTCCTTTCATCACTGAAGGGCTCAGTGTATACAGGGAAGATGAAAGATTCCTTTCTGAGGTGCACAAGAGAGGGGTAAGAGGCACCAGGATGCTCCCAAGGAAATGTTCTTCCCATGCACGTGGTTGAGCAGTGAAACAGGGAGCCAAACTGAGGCTATGGAACTGCCATCACTGGAGACTTCCAGAAATGCTGCACAAAGCCCTAAGCAATTTGAACTAGCTTTGGAACTAGCTCCCCCTGAGCACAGGGTCTGCCTGGATCACCTCCAGAAGCCCCTTGCAGCTATTCTCTGATGACAGGATCCATGTCCCTATTTGCTCTGCAATCACACCTATTAAACTTGACTTAAGAAACTTTGCAGAAAAACGCTTCAGCTGGTCCTCAAGGAAGCAAGCAAAAAGACAACCTCCTTCTGTCTTCAGGCTCAGATGAGGTTTGAATTAACATTTCAGATCTTCCAGTGGAACTCTGAGGAAAGAATTTCACTACATGAAGAAATAAAACCAGGATGTATTTTAATGGCTGTTTATGTTGTATTCAAGGCAAGAACTGGTGTAACTGCATCACATCTTGCCCAGGCCAGGGTCTCAACTTAAGCCTAAAAGTATTTTACAGTTAATCACTTCTGCCTATATACTGTATTTCTTCAGATTTTGGTACTTCACCACTTATTTCTGGATTCCTTCACTGTCAGTAAGCATCTGTATTATATTTTCCACTACAGTAAGCCATGAAAACTGCACTTTATAGGTTCCCTGCCCCAGGGCAGGAGTGGGGGAAATGTAGAGAAAACAAACATAAAATTTTTGATTGCTTTTGTTTTCTAAGTTTTATTTTCCACTTTAGAAAATCCTAATTTTCCTTTCCAGTCCAACAAATTGGATCTTCTTGGTGAAGTACCCAAATAAATAGTTTAAAAACATTTTTGCTATTGAAGGGGTAGAGTGATTCTAAAACCAAGAAAATTTCCTAAGAGGTAAGAGAAAATATATTTTAAATACAGGACAACATCACAATTGATAAATCAATTTCACACCTATTTTTAAGAATTCTTCAGAAACAAAAAAGCTTCACTGTTGCACTTCACTTCTAGCATTGCTGTGCTGTGACTTCCATCCTATCTTTTAAAACCATTTCTGCTTCAGAAAAAAGTAGATAAGTGGCTTTCTTATGCAGAGCACAAAAACATATCCTGTTTTTAAAGGTCTTTCAGATAAAGTATTAAGACTAACAAATTTCCTCTCTCTTCACTTTCCTCAGTTTTGCAAGTCACACTGATCTGTTACAGACTAGAGACAAGGAGGTTATAACAATCCTCTCTGACTATACTTGATCTCACTAAGGAAATTCCATGGCAGTATCTCAATAAAAAGTCAGGTCAATTAAGGAGTGTGTCACTCCTCTGAAAAAAAAAAAAAAACAAGTCCTAATACTCAAGACAAGTTTAGAAAAGGTTGAACCATAAACTTTGTACTTCACCTAAGGCTAAGTCTTACCATAGCAACTATTAAGAAAGAAAAATATTTTGAAGCAGCCAAGCAATCAGACTTTTGCTTCTGTCACCTCCAATATAGGAAGTTTAGACTGGATTTTGTAAACGTAGGCCATAATCTCACAAGCAATGAAGTGAATGGTTAACTTTGCACAGGAGGAAAGCTCCAACTTCAAAAAGATGAAGTTAATGCACATGACTGTACCATCAGGATTTTACTGCCCAGCACCGATAACACAACTAAGCTTACACTGATAATACAACCAAAATTAGCAGCGTTTTTATTCCACTCCTTCCTTGGAAATGAGAAGACCTTTAATGACAATAAAGACACATTCTAGGAGCCTTATCAGAACTGCAGTGGCTTTAATATCTCTCATCCTTTGTTCCTCCCCTTCACCACCTCTTCAGCTGTGCTGGAGTCTGACATCCCAGTCACCAGGGACAGAACAGGCCGGATCCATGAACTGAACCTGTCAAAGAGAGTCCCAACCGGGAGCAATTTCCTGCTCCAGGTTCCCAGGCAGCCCCAGAAACAGCTGAACCAGATGGAGTGAAACAGTAACACACAGGCTGCACCAGCCCAGGCTGCTGCCAAGAGAAATCCCAGGAAGATCAGAGCCTCACCTAAACCTGCACCTACCTGTTCCCAACTCCCTCAGATGAATAAGCACTTTGGAGCAAGTGGGGGCAGGGAGGCACCACACGACCTTGCATGAGCCCGTGCTTCCCATCTGGTGAACAAGCTACATGTGTCACCACCAGGCTTTGAGGAGAACCTGAAGAGTCATTTTAATTGGCTTTATTAGGATCTCTTCAAACTAAGTTTACTAATTGTTGACAGGAGCTGCTGCAACTGTGTCCATAAGAGGTACAGAGGGTGAGAACCTTTAACCCAAGATGTAGATTGCAGTATATCCTCTAAAAATCAGCATTCATCATGAAGTTAAAAAGCTGGCAGAACCCCCGTGAACACTATAAAACTGTCCTATAAATAATAACTCAAAGCAAAAATACTTCACATTTCACTTATCCTGATTTGCCTCGGTCCTCACTTCCATGGTACCCTTTGGATGTTACTTTAGGAACAGGCTGTGACTAAGATCCATTGCTTTTCAATAATCAAGTCTGCAAACCACTGGTGCAATTACCTCTGACTTAACCATCCTCTTTTTTTTTTTAAGCTATACTCTGAACTTTGTAAAAATCCTAATAAGTGTCACTGTAAACCATTATTTTAACTTCTCATGCCAAGGTATCTACTTATTATTGGTTTAGATTTCTATTACACAAAGTTACTTTTGCATAAGAGGAAATAAAGAATATCTAGCTCATTTTAAATTTATATGTATTTGGTAGGTTTGTATATTCAAGAACACTTTTACAGTGGTCAAGTTGTACCAGCTTAAAATTATGTTAAGTTCTTAAAATGCACATTACCAGTCTTTACATGAATGATTCCCAGGAGATTTCAGTTTTTACTCATTTTTTTCCTGATATTTCTATACATAACACAGCAGTGAAAACACAAGCATGTTTGATGAAGAAATACAGACTTTGGTAGGCAATGGGAAGCAAATTTAACATTACAGAACAATATTTCCATGTCTGTCTCCAGATTATATTAGACACCTCTGATGTTCATATCTAACATTTTTTAAAAAACAATTTAATTCAACTGAAAGGTTTAAGAATGTTGAAAAGAGCTACAGACCTCAAAAAAAAGCCCAAGGAAAACCTGGAAACATATAGGGCAGGGTCTGTATTGTTTCAGATGACAGATTCCAGTTCAGGTTTAAGTTTGTAAAAATAAAAAATAATAAAAAAATAAATGTAGATTTCCTAAGTGAAAATAAAAATCATTCTCCAAATTTCAGATAGGTAATAATTTTCCCCAAGAACTTACCCCAATAAAATCATTTTTTAAAATAACTTCGGAATATATGTAATAGTGGCAGAAACAATAAAAACAACCTGAAGAAATATCTCTGAACAGGATATTTTAAACATATTTTAGTATGGGTTACTGTGGCGTGTTTTTTCTGTATAATAAGCACTACACCAAAATATTAAGCATTACAGCTGTGTATGTCTGCTGAGCCTGAGCCTTCTATTCAAAGAGCAAAGTACATTTCAGAACTTGTTTTTCTTTCTAAACCATTAATCCAAACAGTACTTGCAAGCTACCAAAAAAAAAAAAAAAAAAAAAAAGAAAAACATCAAAACGTACAAACCTCTCACAACTTGAAGGGACTCTAGAAACCCAAACAAAGCCCCTGTGGTCACTGCTTGCTCACAAAACACTCGTAAAAGCACATCCCTCCTGCTGGAGCCGTAGTCTGGCACTAGGCCTCAAAAACAAGGAGACAGCCTGGGAGCCAGAAAGTGAGCAAAGCTACAGCAACGCAGCCGGGGAAGCCTTTCCCCTTCCTGCCAAATAGTGATCCGCGAGGAAGTCACCCAGCACCAGCGCTCATCCCTGACCAGGAGCGCGGCTCCTTCCTGCTGCCTCACACCTCCGGACGGCAGGGAACAAAGTCCGGGAAAAGGGAAACTCCCGTGCGAGCTGAACAGCGAGGGGAATTCAGGCGAGTTCCCACACACCTGCTCTGCAGGAAGCACCTCCCGGTTCTCCTCACCAAGAACAGTCAGACACAATCACAGCACGGTTACAGAGCCCTCAGAGAAATACTCTGAGCCGCGGATATCTTCATGTAAATGATACAATTAGATACTGCAAACACAGTTATTACAACAGTTTACAACAGAAACTGCAACAGGGTGAACTTGCCATTTAAAAAACGTGATCTCACGTAAAATGAAGAAAAAGTAACAGGTTTTTACTGTGCTGAGCAGGATCAGTAAGACCTGACAGATACCCCTGGGCAAAGCCTATAAAAGAAGTCTCCCCCCATTAGCTAAAACTACCAGCAAACAAAAGTAATCAGCCCAAAATTATGGGTACTAAGGAAAGCTTGTTTAGCTCACTGAAGCAACCCACAGGCAAAAAGAGAATCCTGGTAGAATCTCACTGACTTAAAGTGCAGAATTGTTATAAGCCACAACTGAGGACCACCAAAACAGTCACACTTACATCGTCTCTCCAGTCTTAGCCACATGACAAAGAAACTGATCCAGTATTGGACACACTTCCTTCTTCCCTCTCTTCTCAAAATCTGTTGGCATGAGAAGGACACAAAAGAAATGGTAAAAGAAGACGGGACAGAACAACAATTCACAATAGTTAGCTATTTGCTTTAGCTATCAGTACGGTTCCCACACAAACACTGTCGCTCTCACAACGCTCCGGCTGTTCCCAAGAGCTCCACCAGCTTTCCCAGCCCTGTAAAACACTTAATATTTTTCCAGCGGAGAAACTGCATGCACCGGAGAATCAGAAGTTGATTTGCAACTTCTTTTGAGCAGCTATAGCACAGAAAGAGGCCGATTTCCTCAGGCTGAGCCCAGTACAGGGTGGGCTGGAGAGGGAGAAGGGGACAGGTCCGGGCAGGGCCAGGATGCGGGGAAGGGGCCGGGACAAGGGGGGAAGGGGCCTGGATGCGGGGGGAAAGGGCAGGAACACAGGGGAAGGGGGTCGGTGCGGGAGAAAGGGCAGGAACGCGGGGGAAGGGGCCGGGACGCGGGGGAAGGGGCGGGCAGGCCGGGCAGCCCCGGTCCCGGAGCCGGGGGTCACTGACGGCCCACACTCAGCTCTGAGGGTCGCTGGGCAGCGGCACCGGGGGCTCTGTCCTCCCTTTCCCCACAGCGACGCCCCCCCGCGACTCTCCCGCTCCGTGGGACCCCTTCACAGTGAGCAAGCCCCCCCCCACGCGCGGGACCCCCGGCAGGGCCCAGGAGGGAGGGAACCCGCCGCCCTCAAGCGCGGGGCGCTTCCCCCCACAGAGTCCTAAGGAACCCCCTCTCCCCTGAGCGCGGGGACCCGCTCCCCAGCACCCTGCCTCGCCAGCCCCGCCCGCCACTTTCAGCGCCTCCTGCAGCCTCTCGAACGTCCTATGGTCCGCCGGGCGATTCCCCCGCGGCTCCGCCGCGGCCTCCCCCGCCCCAGCCCCGCGCAAGACGCGGGCCGCGCTCGCAAGCGAGACCCCGCGCTCAAGCGACGCTCCAACATGGCGCCCCGGCGCCGTCCGCGGCGGCGTGTCGTTGCGCGTTTGCCCCCTTTCCGCCTTCGCCTCCGCCCTCACGGGAGCCGCACGGCCCAAACCCCCCTACGCGCCAACCGAAGCCGCCTCCCGCACCACGCCGGCGCGGAGGGCGGACATGGGGCGCCGGGGCCTAATGGGCGGGGCGGGGCGAAGTGAAGGGGCGGTGCAGCCTAGATGACCGCGCAGGGGCGGGCTGTTCCCTGAGCGCGAGGATGGTGCCGCCGTGAGGGGGCGTGGCCGTGCGGCCGTGAGGGAGGAGGCGGGAAAGGCGCGGGAAAGGTTCCGCTGCAGCGCCCGCCCGACTGACCGCCAGGGAGGCTCTGGGGGAGGCTCTGCCCTTCTTCTCCTCTTGGCCGCCTCAGCCAGGCAGATCCTCGGGGAAGGGGATGGGAACGCGGAGCCTCCCCCGCGCCAGCCCCTCAGGGAGCTCTTGTGCCTTCCTCCCCGCTCAGGCTGAGGGTGACTACGCGTCCCCCACGCTTACCAACCAAATCCCTGTTTGTGCGGGGACGTGCCTGTCTCCCTTTTATTGTTCAAGAAGATCACAGAATATCCCGAGTTGGAAGGGACAGACAAGGATCATCCAGTCCAACCCCTGGCCCTGCACACCCCAACAATCCCACCCTGTCCCTGAGAGCGTTGTCCGAACACTCCCTGAGCTCTGTCAGCCTTGGTGCTGTGATCATTGCCCTGGGGAGCCTGTTCAATGCCCGACCACCCTCTGGGGGGAAGAACCTTTGCCCAGTATTTAATCTATACCTCCCCTGACACAGCTCCAGCCGTTTCCTGGGGCCCTGTCCCGGTCGCGGAGCTGCCCCTCTGGAGGACACTGCAGACCCCGATGAGGTCTGACCTGTCTCCTCCAGGCTGAACAGACCAAGTGCCCTCAGAGACTCCAGCCCAGCCCTCTCAACTAACTGGAAAAGATTTCAGTTCACAGCAAATCATCTTTTCCTTCCATTTTCAAAGGCGAAACATTTAAATATAATCCTAGAATACAAAAAGCTTGTGGGTAGTTTCATCACCAATTTGTTGTGTGATCTCGGGCAAAGGGGTGAGGCAATCACACCTCAACTTCTTCATTAATGAAAGGTATTTGACACACCTTGTAATAACAACATACACAGAGAGGATGATTTCATTTTGTGTCAGTTCCCAACCTGCTTGTATTCACTGAGATCCAACGATGAGAAAAATCACCTTCTTGGAGAAGATGTGGTGGTTTAAACACTTAACTAAAGAACAATGAGAAACTGTTTTACAATCCAGATTTTGGGTTTCCTCTTGTGTTAAACTCACACAAAGCCCCATTCACATTTACATTTTAGATTCCTTTTAAGCTTCTGCAAAACGTATCTTTTGAGAGTGATAAGCTGTCCAACCCCTGGGCATGGATCAATAATTAAAATGATGTGGGGTGTTGGACCAGCAGATACTTCTGCTCCCAGTAATGCAGCTTAGATTAGGTATCTAGAGGTCCCTGACCCAACCTTTCATTCACTGATGTGTTACAGCAATTTGTAAGGTATTTCCACCCAGTTTGAACCAAAATTGATTGTTGTGCTTTGAAAAAATCTGTAGCCATTCAATACAGCATCAAGCAAGTGAGATGCAGCGGAATCCAGTGAGAACAATAAGAAAATGAGAACAATTATGTTTTAAGTCCCGCTTAGGTCTTCAGAAAATATTGTACATCGATACACATCAAAGGATTTACAAAAGGAGTATAGGGATTTTGTTTGGTTTTAATTTACAGCTGCAGAAATTTGAGCATGGTACGATAAAATGACCCTAAAAGTTGTGTCTCTGCTTTCCATTCAGAATGGAAGTTTTTTGGTTTTTTCTTTGAAGTATATCACAGCCACTTCGAGACAAATTATGCCCCTCCTCTAATAAAATCACTACAAATCTTCAATGTGCTTTTAAAAACTCTGGAGGACTTGGGAGTATTGAAAGATCCAAACAGCTCACGTGCAGTGCTTTAAAAAGAGGCTGAAAACAGAAAAATGGTATTTGTGGGAGTTAGTATTTATTTTGAGAGTACCCACAGGAACAAGGAACAGTGGGATGTGATAAACATTCCTGGCTTTACCCGGGTCAGCCACTGACACAGAGTCCCCACGGATTGTCTCCTATTAATCCAAGAGCCCATGGCAAACCAGTGCCAGGGCAGTTTTCTTTCCAAGCTGCTTTCACACACCTTTCTTCCAGTATATCCCTGGGACAGGAGCTTCCTGCAGATCACTCCACAAACTACAAGACCTGTTAGACTAAAACCAGACCTGTTTTTTCACCTGGAGCCTCAGGTGTGAGGAAGCTGTATTCAAACCACAGCAGCCTTTGGAAGCACTGAGCAGAACGGGAATGTTTTTTTAAAGGTGTGTACCCTGAGAAGGCACCTGCTTTGTACAGTTCTAACCTCCACAGCAGGAAATTAACCTGTTTCAGAAGGGTTAGGGAAAGATATTTCTGCAGGAATAGGTCTTCAAAAAAAAAGGGCTGCGTCATTTCTGTGTCATTATTTCAGCATTACCAAAATATTTTAGTTCCAAGACAGTGTTCCACATTTTAGGACTATATTGTAGTTTTCACAAAGTAACAGCAGCAATTAAGGTACTTTTATAGAAACGTAAAAGGCAACACAAAATATTTTACCCCGAAAGAAAACATTAACAAAGTCCTTTGTTCACCTTCAATGCCGATTCTTATTTTGGTGTTTTGTCTCCATTTTCATTTCAAAGGAAGTGTTGACAGTTTGGTTTTCATTCTAGTCCAGAATGAAAGGAAAATTTCCAAACATTGCTCTTTCTTTTGAAGCCCAAACAGCAATTCCTTATCTCGTGCCAGCGGGAGGTGCAGCTGTATGGATCCCATCGTAGTTGCCTCAAGAGCAGTGGGGGAATGTTTCCAGCCTCCAGAGGGACAATCCATGGACCTGTCCTGTCCCATTCCACCTCTGGAGGGGTGCTCAGTTTTTTTACTGCTGTTGTATTTGACTGTACCTGATGGAGAGGAGAAAAACATTCCCTGACAGTTGGCTCTGACAGTTGACAAAGTGTCAAGATTTATCCTCGTATTACAGTCTCATGTTTTTTTCAGTTTATTTACTTTATTCCCAGCTTGGAAAAACTGTCTTCTCCCCACAGCAATATTGACTGGAGCCACATTTGCAAGGGAAAAACCTTGGGTCACCGGACAGTGTGATGGTGGAGGGTGTAACACACACCACCCAGATCAGAACAATGTCAGCACCAGGCAGGCAACTGGTTTGGCTGAACAGACAACCTGGAAGCTTCTGTCACACAGAGATGTCACAGCACAGTGCCAAAAAAATACAAGGAGGGAAAGGAAATGCTGCTAAATGAAATGGAGAAACAGTAAAGAGTAAAATCATTTCCTTTGAGACCAGGTTCTGATCTACGCTCACCATAACACAACTGGAGCTGCAGCATGACACACGAGCACTCTGGGGAAAGTTAAATGTATTTGTCTCTATATCCAATATCACGCTCTCACTACAGTAAAATTGTAAAAGAGGAACATTTATCTCTGTTCCATGCTGTCATACCCTGTACACATAGGCTGTAACATCACTTCTAAACTCTATCACAACCAGACCCAGCACACACACACACAGTTTTGTATTTAAAAGAAAACTAGCCAATTACAGAGCTTGCTTAAAACTTCATTTATTTGAACTGTAAGCCAAAGGAGTGTCCTCAGCCCAGAGATGCACTGCTTGGCCTCCTTGGGAACTACAGCAGTCGGTGCACTTGTCAAAGGAAAACACACAAGGAATTCAGCGACAGAGAAAAGGTACATTTTTTACACACACACACACACAGAGCAGTTTCCAGTCTCAGCTGCAGGTGAAATGCTGATGAGCTCTATCCAAGCCCACCTTATATCATCAGACAGGTAAAACCCTTCCCCTTACAGAAATGATGCCACAGCTCTTTGCTGTACAATGTGCCCAGCCTTGGGCTCAGCGGAGGGGCTCAGCAGCTCCTCACAGAAAGCCCCTGTCTATCTGTCTTCAGCAAGTTCAAGTGAAATACAGCCAAGTGAAACCCTGAATATTTGGGGCTGGTAGAGCAAGAATGAGGGGACACCCTGAGCTCTGCTCTGCACAGGCAGAATGGACAGTGTCAAACACTGCTGGGTCAGGGCTCAGGGCTCGGGGCTGTACCTGCTCTTCCCATCACAGTGGGAAAGGTGATGCTTTTCCTCTGCTGCCAACACGTCCCATGTGCTGCACGTTCTGTCCATGTAAAGAAATGATGACACTGCTCAAGGTGTTACATTAGTGAAGGTGTTTACCTTATACCATTGGAAACAACCAAAATACAGGAGAGGAAGGGGAAATGAGGACATAGAGTCTTTATGAGTATTTACACATCCCATTATTAAGATAAATGAAGGCTAATTAACAAGGAATTAGCCACAAGTATGAAATACAAAATGAATTAAAACTGGCTTCTAAATAAGATGAATATTACAACCAACTACTGTTAAAACTAAAATATAACATGGTTTTGGAAGATGCAATAAAATATAAATTAATAATTCTAACAACAAGAAGAAACAAAATTACATAATTGTTTTAAAACACTTTGGAGAGCTGAAATTATTGCTTTTTTCCTCAGAAAAAGCCCAGCAGGGGGGAACCTCCCCATTCTTCCTGCCAGCTGATATTACATTAACAAAAGTCTTCATGTAAAGCAAATACTTTATATATTTAATAGCTGTTGAGAACATAACACAGTTCTTCCTAAACAAAATGTAGCACCTCCTGTAAACATTAAAAGCACTGCTTTAATCTCTAACCAGTTCATATGCAATAATGCCTTTGTTTTGTAATGAATTCCACTCCTTCATTTGAATGTGCCCGTGGTTGCAGGGTTCTGCTGAATCACAGCTTACACAACCACAGCCTCCGAAACTCCAGAGCCTCAGCGCTGGGGCTGCGACTGTCTGGGCAGCAAGACTTTGCTCTGCAGCTTTCTGTGGCTTGGAGACACCATGGAAATGAGGAACTCGGCATTCCCAGCATGTGGCTCCTCCAGCCTCATCTGACCTGCCGTCAGCTTTACCCTGATATGTGAAAATAAAGACCA